GTTTTATGTCCAATGGATGATGATCTGATTAGTCGACTATCAAAATAATCGTTTGTGGCAGCCCTTGTTCGGTTCAATTTAAATCTAAATAACTTTCTAAATAATTAAGTTTGTAAATAACGAGAGGAAATGTTAGATATGTACGTAAAAAACTGAAACCTCCACAGCCAGTCGTGGGCTCCTGATGTGAGGGGGCTGCTGCTTGTCTGATTGGTGAAATTTACTTGGTGCATGCCATGAAGAGGCTCACGGTGCTGTGATGTCATTGTTCCAGTATTAATAAGAGTTTAAAGTTAGTAGAGAAATATGTTTACTGCAGAAACCCGACATTCCTGAGCTGCAGCTCTTCAATCAGCATTTAGTTCTTTTTGTAAAACTCAAACACTGCTCCGAGTGACAGATTCAAGAATGGAATTTGGAAATAATGTCTGGGCTCGTAAATATCTGCTCTGCAAGTAAAAACACTTTCTGTTTCCCTGCAGTGTACCTGGGCGTGACCAACCTGAGTACCTATCAGGTGAGGATGAACGGGCTGTGTGCCCAGTGGCAGCCTCACCGACATGCCAGCGCCTACAGAGTGGCCCTGGAGTCGCTGGTTGGTGAGTACAGTGATGGCAGCGTGATTTCAAAGGTGGTTTTATTCCCTCTGTGTGATGTTTTGCTCGTACTCCCATCTGTACTGTGTATGTAAGCAAATGAAGGTCAGCCTGGGGCGTTTGTTGGATCATTTCTCAGTATCAACATTTTAAACTTATGAACCTGTTCTCATCATGAAGGTTTGTAGTTCTTCTATTTGCACGTGGAATTCCTTTCATCCCAGTATCTCTGCTCGACTACGCGCACAATCTCAAGCTGCTAAAAAAAGACTGGTTTGTAGGTGGTGGAAGATCTGTCAGCACGTTGGATGGTTCCAGTGTTTGTGCCAAGCTTCGTAGGCACACCAAGGAAACACATTTCTGATCTCTCATTCTGAAATAGCAAAAGACATTGTGCATATATTTTATTAATGTTTTAAGATTATATTGAGAAGTATTTACAGCTTTGTTTGCAGATATTTAAGATACAGCTGTGTGAACATGTGAACCCCAAACATCCAGGTCACACGTATGGATACAACACAGAGTAGTTTGGATTTCTTTGTCTTTAATAAGCACACAGTCTCAGAAAAAACGAACCTCTGTGCTCTGTTGGAGGAAGAAGGCCCGCTCATTGAAACTGTGAAGCACCGTGGAGGGAGCATCCCGAATCGGGGCTGATTTGGCACCTTGGGGCATGGATGCCTTCCAATGACTTGGAGAGCAATAAATTTCAAAAAATGTGTCAAGAAATTTCAGAGGAGAATGTCGGGGAATCAGTCCATGACCTGAAACAAATAAATCTAAACTATAATGATTAAAAAAGAAAACAATTCATTTTTTGAAAAGGTCCCAACATTAACCCAGCTGAGACCTCGAGTGTGCTTTTTCAATCAAACCGTCCCACAAGTGCCGATGAACCGGAACACTTATACAGGAGTTCTCCTCATTGTTGTGCAAGCGTTATGAGCCATGAATGAAACGGTTGCTGCTGTTGGAGCCTCAACGAGTTACTAAATTCAAAGGTTCGCTACAATACAAC